CCTTCATAACACAATTTAAAATATTTGTTCGAATGTTTTGAAATATTCTCTGAATTTATTCCACCTGACCTTGTCCTGGTATAAGAAATTACCATTGTTAAGCAGATCAAAAAATTAAGAAAATAAAGTATAAGCAGGAAAATTACGTGAATGTTTTCCCATTAATTAGCAACATATTTAAAAAATCGGAAAAAAGGCAGAAAAAAATTGAATAGATTATATTTTAAAAGTTTTTAAAATCTTGTTTATCCCTGTTGTCAACGTTATGCAGTATGCACGCGCTTTTAATGTGCACAGTTGTTTCATTCAGTGCACAGTGTAGTGTTCATTGTGCGCGGTGAGATGTGTATAGATGTACATAAATGTGCTTGGCAGTACACTGTATGTGCTGTGTGTGCAGTGTTTAAACAATACAATTTCTTGTTATATAAGTTGTTGTATTTAAGTTAGATTTATTCAACCTAACCTAACCTAACTTCTGATTTTACTGTTTGAAGACTTGGGGTTTAAAGTAAATGAATTTAATGTGAAAAGTATATCTGCAATATTTCGTTTCTTAACCCTATCTCTGCTGGGGTACTTAAAAACCAGGATATGCTGGGGGGGGGGTCAAGTTGACCCCCCCCCTCTAAATCCCATGTTTGATGTCCAAATATGACAAATGATACATCATTGGAAAGCTCTTGTGCTCTACTTTTAGAATCTGCAAAAAAATTGCAAATTTGCAAAAATTGAATTTTTTATCGCAAAATCCAGTTAAACAGTAAAAATGTTTGCAAAAAAAAATTTGTCTAAAAAATAAAAAATTATACATTTTTAAAAAGCCCTTGACCATGCCATTTCAAATATGCAAAAAATTTTGCAAAGTTTTATATAACCTGATTTTTAATCAAGAAAAACTAAAAATGTGCAAATTTCCTTTGACAGGTTGTTTGCAAAAAATTTGCAATTTTTTTCGCAAAACTTGTGCAATTCGTTTCCTTATGTCAGAGGTTTTCCAAAAAGCTAAATTTTATCAAAATCTGACAAGTGAAAGTGGGTCAAAACAAAGATTTAGTTTGTTAAAGGAAAAAACAGTCATTCAGGCAGTGTGCCTGAGGACTCAGGCAGTTAGTATTAAAGCCCAGTTTTAGGCCTAAAGGGAGGGCTGTGGGTATGTAGGAAAAGTCAGAAAATTTCCACAGCCTCAGACCAATACTTTTTGAGTTATGTAAAAAAAACTACAGGGGGGGGGGTCAAATTGACCCCCCCCCCCCCGCAGGAATAGGGTTAATGTTGCTGCAGTTCAAAACAGATAAAAAACATTTTTCCTACAAAAGTTCTTTTTCTTTCAAAGTGGATTGAACAGAAAGACGGTTGCTAAATATTAGTTAGCTTATTTGTGACAAAAGAGGGAGGAAGGGGGGGGGGAGATTTTGGATAAAAAATTCTTTAATTGTTAGATAGGTTAGATTATCTTAGTTAGCTTATTTGTGACAAAAGAGGGAGAAAATGGGGGTGGGGAGATTTTGGATAAAAAATTCTTTAATTGTTGTTCAAATTTCTGCACTGGGGTTAGGGTTTTGGGGTTCGGGTTTTGTGTAATCAGGATTATCCTTCAGTATAGATTACTCATTTGCATAGCTTAAGGCTTTAGGGGTGTTTCGCACCCATTTTTATTGCTTTCCATGCTGTCATTATTTTTATTAAGAGGTTGAGGGAAGGTTTTTAAATGAGAATATATGCCAGTCTGATTTAAATCAATGTTAAACAAATTGTTTGAACATTTATTTCATGTCTTATTAAATATTATAAAAAGTTTTTCTTTGCTTTGCACATATAGTAGGTTACTAAGTATACAATTGACGTGTTTAATCATTGTAACGAATTTTAAAAATAATTTTTTAAAAGTTCTTATTTGTAGCATTCACAATATAAAAAGATTAAAAAAGCAGTTTATATTTATTTGATTTGTGTGTATCCACTAAACGTCAAAACATATTTTTTTTTGAAAATTCTGTTAAACCGTAGGAAAAAGATCCAAATTAAAAATATTTACATTTGGATAAAAAGTGTGAACAGTAAAGTTTGTTTTTATTGTTCTTTATTATTTTATTATTCTATTTTTTATATTTCGAGTATAGTGAATAGGATGACATTGCACAGGGCGGGGCCATTGTTTGTTAACAAATCTATTTTATTCATTCAACCTAAAGGATATTATATATATTTTTATGTATAAACATTTAGCATCAATCTCAGGGGTGCTTTATACTGCAATAATTATGTTTTCATCAAAAAAACAGTAGAAATAACCTTATTATAAATTTTAGTGCAAAAAAATTTTAAAAATGAGAACATCATTTTTTAATTTTTAATTTTTTACATTTTTCAGCAAGTGTAAGTATTTTTATTATGAATTTGTACATTTTATTTTCTCAAGAACTTTGATTTTTGTATTCCAGTTTTTATATTAAGAATTAAGATAGATTAAAAACATCAAGTACTAAAAAGGATTAACGTAGTAATTTCTCGTATTTTTAGAAGAACATGCAGGATTCACAATGCTACCCTTAATTCCCTTAATTGTCTCTGAAGCAAGCATCTGCTGATAACTTTATAGAGAAACCACAAGGGGAAAAAATCAATTTTCAAAATGAGAACTATAGTTTTTAAGGGAACCGGGATGTCCATGCCAACCGTTTAGTTTCTTCTACCAAAAATGTGCATTTTGGAGTTTGAGGAGAGGAGAGTAAAAATGTTTAATTGTCTTCAATGCATTTAATATTTTCACACGGTTAATTTTCTTTGTGTCATAAGCTGACACAAATTGCTTTTTAATTAAATTTTGAGAAATAAATTTCTCAAATATTTGTAAAACATGATTTCAACTGCAATGTTAGATTATATTCTAAAGCTGCAAAGTTCCCTTCATTGACATTGAAAATTGTTAAAACAGGAAATCCTTTTAGTTTTTATAAAGTTACGTCATTTTTGCAAATTTTATAAATAAAAATGCATTTTACAGGAGAATTCCAAAATTATTATGATTTTTCTAAAATTCTTATAAAACCGTATTATTAGGGGGGAGCCCCGGGGGGAGGTGTTATTCTTGAATTAAATTCTGCCAATCCCAATTAAAAACATCAAAATAATAAAGAAATAAGAGAAGAATGAAGAAATTAATAAGTTCGTGATTTTAAATCCGAGTAAACATTTCTTTTACCGAGAATTTTGTTTTAACAGATAAGCTTGGACTTTTTCTAAAAGTAAAAAATCAAGTAAAAACATTTGGTTTTGAAGTTTAAACATTGCAATCAGCAAAATCATTTAATCAGGTTTGGTAAAAGACAAAAATCACTTTTTTATAAACTGACTTTTATTTATTTTAATGATTGCGGGTTCATACCACTGATCTCAATCAAGAGTCATAGTGATAAAGTAATTTGTCATTTTTACATATTTTTGTCAAGCCATTTTGTTGGTAATAAATGTCAAAACCAATTAGGCCAACAAAATGTGTAATATGGCCAATTAGGATAAAAAGTTAAGAACATCTCAAGAAATTAAAAAACAAAAAGTTTATTTCTAAATAAACGTGTAATTTGAAGATTTATTTGACCCAAAATTTGTGTGAGACCTGAAATGGCCCAAAGCCTTTTCACTAAAAAGAATCTCTTAACCGCAGTTTACAACGAAAATAAAACTGGTAAAATATTTTGAGCTCCATGATGAAAAAAAATAACTTAACTCGTGAGAAAGGCCTGTGATTTTTTTCTCCTAAAAATCTTACACGCTTGTTTGTTTATTGGAACAGATGCATTATCATATTTTTATAATACAAGTTCCATTTTTTTTTTCAAATCTTCAAGTGCTTTGTGATTCTTTTTTTAACCATTGGGATTTGGGAAGTAAGGAATTTTCTCAAAAAGCTGAAAAAAATTCACCGTTCACAGTTAACAATTAAATGTTAGTTAGTAAAGAAAGTAGGACTAAAAAATATAGCTATCAGAAGATAATGTTGGCTTAAAAATCAGAGAAAAAAAAGATGCAAAAAAAAATAAGAAGAAGCCAGAAATAGATTTTATTTAGTACCTAGCTGAAGGGCCCGGCGTTGCCCGTGGAAAAAAAAATTTGAAAAAAATAAAGATTTGAAAAAAAAATTTTAATTATTTTAGCCTAGAACACCCCCCGGCTACGCATGATTGTACACAACAAATTTCAGCCCAATCGGTCCAGCCGTTTGGCCGGCTATACGCAACATATATATGAATGTCTTGTTTTATTATATAGACTAGCTGAAGTGCCCGGCGTTGCCCGTTAAATTTTTAAAACACACGAGAAAAAATTAGAATTTCAAAAAAATCCAATTAAAAAAAATAGATTTTTGAACAAAATTATTTTTAGTCGGATCTTTTTTTTCCCCAGGGTACCCATGGTTTCCTTGAAAAATGTCAGAAAATTTGGTCCAGTCGTTCGGCCAGCGATAGCAAACATATATGTATATGAGCTAAGAGCTAATTATTACATACACAGATATTAGTGGGAGCACAGATACAAAATAATATAAAAAAATACAAACAATACACACTCCATCGTTTATTTTAAAGCTCTAAATTTCTAAACAATAACAACCAATTAAGATAAGATAAGATATGATAAAAAATTCAGTTTTCTTATATAAAGATAAACGTGCTCAGTAAGCTGGCAGACACGGCTCAGTACCTATATATTTGTTGAGATAAAAATAAATCTGAATTGAACCTGAGTTTGTTGTAATTTGAGACTGATTTATCAATTTTCACTCAAGCTAGGTAGGGGGGGGGCAGGAAGTTATAAGGGGGTCTTTACAAGAACACAATGAAAGGGAGGGGGGGGGAATCAATTGCATAGGGTTAAGGTGTGTGTAGGTAGGGTTAAACACATAAAATAAGTAGGAATAGGGTGTTATATAAAAGTTGCTGAAAAATTATTTAAACAACTTTTTAAAAAAATTTTTATCCGTTTTAATTTCAGGAAAATGTGTTTTTTTCTTCAAGTGAATTTACGATGACGTAAGAAGGTTTGAGTACTTATTCATGCCTCATGCCTCTGCATATACTCAGTCTTTAATTTACAATCTTAGGATTGGGTTCACTCAGATATTTTTCTCTTGATATATTATCTACTACCTGTTAGAATGTAAAAATGGCAACAAAGTGATTTGTAAAAGAAGATCTGTTAAATGTAAAAATATTCTCTCACAGAAGGGACTAAAGAGCTTTATGACAAAAACTGCTCTGAGTGTAAAATGTGCTCTAGGTATTGCTCTAAGAGTACAATGTACTCTAGGTCAGGAACTGCTCTAAGTGTAAAATGTGCTATATGTCAGGAATTGCTTTAAGAGTTAAATATGCTCTATGGCTGGAGTGATCTAAGAGTTAAGTGTGTTTGAAGAGAAGATTGCTCTAAAAGTGCTCTATGCCTGGAGTGATGAGAGTTAAGATTGTTCTAAAAGTACTCTATGCCTGGAGTGATGAGAGTTAAGATTGCTCTAAAAGTGCTCTATGCCTGGAGTGAATAAGAGTTAATATTGCGTTAAAAGTGATCTAAGAGTTAAGTTTGCTCTAAAAGTGTTCTATGCCTGGAGTGATCTGAGAGTTAAGATTGCTCTAAAATTGCTCTATGCCTGGAGTGATCTGAGAGTTAAGATTGCTCTAAAATTGCTCTATGCCTTGAGTTATCTGAGAGTTAAGTTTGCTCTAAAAGTGCTCTATGCCTGGAGTGATCTGAGAGTTAAGATTGCTCTAAAATTGCTCTATGCCTTGAGTTATCTAGGAGTTAAGATTGTTCGAAAAGTGCTCTGTTTCTGGAGTGATTTTAGAGTTAAGATTGTTCTAAAAGTACTCTATGCCTGAAGTGATTTTAGAGTTAAGATTGTTCTAAAAGTACTCTATGCCTGAAGTGATCTAAGAGTTAAGATTGCTCGAAAAGTGCTCTATGCTTGGAGTGTGCTCTATGACAAAATTGTTCTAAAAGTGCTATTTGCTTGGAGTGTGCTCTATGACAAAATTGTTCTAAAAGTGTTCTATGCTTGGAGCGTGCTCTATGACAAGATTGTTCTAAAAGTGCTCTATGCTTGGAGTGTGCTCTATGACAAGATTGTTCTAAAACTGCTCTATGCTTGGAGTGTGCTCTATGACAAGATTGTTCTAAAACTGCTCTATGCTTGGAGTGTGCTCTATGACAAGATTGTTCTAAAAGTGCTTTTTGCTCGGAGTGTCCTCTATGACAAGATTGCTCTAAAAGTGCTCTATGATGCCGGTATTGACTAAGACTAATACACAGCTGTGAAACTTTAGTTTACATACTATATACTAGTATACAGTAGATCAGGTGTAGAGCTAGTATAGTTAATATACTCTTACACAGATATACACTTCATACGTTCATTTAGTCCCATTGGGATACAAATATCTACATTTGAGCTCAGTGTGCTTCAAGCAACATCTACATTTGACCTTGTTGTGCTTTAAGAAACATCCAGATTTGGACTCATTGTGCTACACTAAAACACGAAGAAACACTTAGAAAAGGGAAATAAGTGATAAAGGAAGAAAGAAAATGGTATTCGAATCTGTAGTAAAAAAATGCAGCAAAACTTAGGAAATTATTAAAAAGAAATTTATTTTTTGTTTTTGGGGCGGGGTCTTTTCAAAAAATATTACGCAAAAATATGATATTAAATATTTATTAATGATTGATGCAATTTCCAGAAATTAAGCAAATTCTTTGTTAAAAAAGTGTAATACTTAATACTTTTTTTTTGTTCTCTTAGCCAGTATAAAAGTAGAAGTAGTGCCCAAAAAGGTTTATCTGAACAATTTTTTTACATTTTTCAAAAACCTAGATTTTTATCTAGTATAAATTTTTAAAATTTGACAAAGATATTGTTTTGAACAGTTGTAATTCACCGATTCTAGTCAACGCTAGGATACATGAAACCAGGCACATTAATGATAAAACCCACATTTTATTAAAACATCTGAAAAAAAAAAATTGACAAGAAATAGAGAAAGGAACTTTGTCGTAATTTCATGTGAATATCCGTTCAAAGAGTGGCACTTTAAATATAGATAAAAGTATTACAAATGAAAAAGCATAATTTTAAAATATTTTTTTCAACTGAACAAAAAATATTTTGAAACAAGAGAAATATGTCCCTATTAATGCTCAGTTAACGCACATGTTTCTTTGTGAATATATCTAAATGTGTTAAATGTAAAATCAGTCGAGAAATCATGATTACTAATCAAGATTTGAAGAAAAATACTAGTCCGCCATTGTTTCTACCACCCAGAGTCATTAGGGATACAAAATAGTTGAGCAAAAAAGACATTCAATAATTCAAATGACCCTTTGTTTTCAGAAGGGCATGTGCGACCATTAAGGTGGTTTTTTTTTTGATGCATGAAGTTATATTTCTTTTTCTTAAAATGTTAGATGCCGAAATGTTCTTTTTTGTCTCTGTAAATCCCCATGTCACTTTCAAATGGAGTTCTCAGTTAAAAATAATCAATTTTAAGAACGAAAGCCAAGGATTTCTCCCGTCATTCTAAATAATCAAAAGGTTTTAAGGGTACTGAAGTTAAATGCACATGCAAATTTGAAAATGAAGGGTTTTTTGTAATCATGTCTACACATTTGAGTCTAGTTTCTAATTGGAAAAGAAAAATGTTTACTTTTTTAATTCCATTTAAAATTTTCATTATACATATTTAATGCTTTTGTAACATTATACATTCCTCAAATCAAACATTTTGTTACCATTAGATCTAGGTCTGTGATAAGAGATACACCACCACCTAGACCACCTCATCCATCTCCTCCACCACCCCTTCCTCCCCATCTAGCTCCGCGTTCTACCCCTCCTCCTCTACCCCCTCATCCACATCTAGTACCTGATCCTTACTTCAAGTCCCATCTTGTGAACATACAGTCTTCTACTAGACTAGCCTGCAGGATGGAGCACTGCAGAACAGCAGAACATCATCAGCAACATCTTCAACAGAATCATCAAGACCATCTTCAGCAGAATCATCATGATCGTCTGCAGCAGAGTCGTCCAGATTCTATTCTGAAGAAAACTTCACAATATGATTCAACCAGTCTCAATTCTTCAAGATCAGGAACTTATTATAATTTCAAACTATTTATTTCTTTCTGGTGTTTTTTAATGCTTTCAGAGCTGAAAACTTTAGAATGGTGGATATCAAGATTAATGCTTGATCCTCTCTTTTTCTTACTATCGAGACCAACCTAATCTTGTACTTGTATCCAGAATAGTGTATCAAATTCAACCAATCAGAGTTGCGTAAGTAATCAGGATTAAGGATATCTAATTCTAAAGTTTTCAGCTCAGGTTTGATTTTTAATATTTGAATAGACAGAATGACAGATTTGATCCTCATGATCATACCGACTTGACCAATACTGACTGATGTTTAAATCACTCTGTACATTTTTATTTTATTTGCACTGTTTAGAATATAAATTCCACCTGATAAATATCAAGTTGGCCTTTTTTCATTTTATTTCTGTGTAATTTGTGTTTAGAACAAAATTTAAATTTAGCTGTTTTTTAAAAATGTTTTTTTTCTAATCTTTAACTACATTAATTCTTAATCTTATCTTTTATCTGAGAATAATAACCATTAGGGTCATCTGGTATTGGTAGATCCTCTGGTAGTAGATCAACTAGTACAGATAGAACCCGGAGGAGTAGACCAAAACACCATCTACCACACTGCAAGCTGTACAAATCCATGGATAAGATTCAGAGCCAAAGAAACAAGGACCGCATTAAAATACATGATATGCGAGGAGATTATGGTGTCAAAATATCACTTCCTGAAAACAGGATTAAAAAGTTGGACCCAGTTCAGATTAAACGTCCAACTAGTGTGGACCTTGGTGAGCTAGACAGGCAGACCCATCCCTGGCTCTATATTGTCCCTGGTAATAAGGTTCGACAACGGGATTGTGATGAACGACCAGATGAGTTTATAAGAGCAGGCATAGGTGTTTGCTTTAAAGGTAGAACTTAACGGTCACTGACCATTTACAATTATTAAACTGGTTTCAACTTCTTTATATTTATTGAGCATTAAACTTTTGATCTTGCTCAAAAATCTATTAAACTTTGGAAAAACATTGGAATACAATTTCTTTGCGTAAATAATTAATGACCATCTTTTATTTTAGGTATGTTTTTGATTCTTTAAGACTATTTTTTATCTCCTAAAAGGTAAGGTGGTAATAGGGTTTCCAGTGAACGAAAACTTTAGCGAAAAAATGCAAAAACTTTTGTTTGTAGTTCGAAAATATTTTTTTTGCAAAATTTTGCATTTTTTGCGAAAATGAATTAAGCCAAAAAATGCGAAAACAAAGCAAATTTTGCGAAAACACTTTTGTGGAAAAAGAATTCCATTAAAAAACCATAGCTTCAACAATTAATCGCGAAAAAAACTTGTGGAGTTCTTTGCTCTGAGAGGTGGGCATTAGAGGTTTTATTTTATCATAATTGATAATTTTTCTTCTTTATGTTTTCGCAAAATTGTTGAATCTATTTTTCGCATTTTTTTTGTGAAAATTTAGCTTTTTTTGCGAAAAAAATTTAGCATATTTTAAAAAACAATTTTCCCTTTTTGCTAGAAGCCCTATCTGGTATCATATAAAGAATAATAATTTTATACAAACTTTACTAACAAAATGTTTTATTTATATAGAAAAGCAAAACATGTACAATATAATATATGCACACTTAACAGTATTAGAGTCAGAACATTTGGATAAAGTGGTTCTACGCCACAAAGTCTAGATTTGTAATCTTGAATTTAATTTTAAAACTAAATCTGTTTCAAAGAATTTGGTCAAGCTTTAAATAATGACCTTTTAATGGTTGACTCCTTGTACTATGAACATTGATTGACCAATAAAAGAAACAGAATAAAGAAGATTTTTAATACCTTTAAGATTTAAACCCTTCAGGAAGAGGGGGGGGGGGGAGAAAAAGGAATACATGTTATGGAAATGAATTATAGGTACAAAAGTTCTGCTATCTGATGTCCACACAAGATAGATATCTACTATTAGGTTCTCATTGACATTCTGCTCATTCTATTTCTTACTCTATCCCCAAATTTTGATGCTCGTTTTTCTTCATTTAAAGTGTTCTTTGTGACGTTCCCTATATCCCAAACCATTTCAGCATTTTTCTTAAACCTCTCATATTCCCATTTATCATAGAGGTTGATAAGGACAAAGTAGACAATGAAACCAACAATAAACAGAAAGAACATTACTCCTGCCACACTTGAGATCACAATCCATTTATCTATAAAGCTTGGGCACAATACTGGGGTCAGTTCATAGTCTAAGTCCACCAAGTCATTGTAGAGAAGCCTTCCATTGTCTGTTTTGTTGTAGTATTTTATGTAGATGTTGATCTTTTTATTAAAATCTGTGTTGCTGTAACCAAACAGACCATTTGTTGCATCATGCCAGAAGAGGAAGTTACAATTCTTAAATTTAGTAGAGCATTGCTGGAGTTTTACAAAATCAGGAGGTGATGCTCTTTGACATTGATCAGTAGTACCTGTGATTACAGTCTCATCTAGTGTCTGGTCAATGCTATCAATATCAAAATTGACTTCATCCCCTACCTCTGTCTCATTCAAAGAAAGAAAACATTGAATTCTTTTGTTTTCTTTCAACATTGTTTCCTGACACTCCTTTAAATATTTCTCCAATAGTACTTGGTCTGCCTCAGTTCCACTTGCCTTTAAAATATGGCCAAATGTATCATATATAATGCAAGATGCCAGGGTCTCGCATGTTTTTTCTTGATAATCATGAAATTGTTCTGCTTTTGGCTGTTGGCAATAGTACCCTTCACTCTCTACACATTCCACACACTGATTGCATTTACAAAAACCTTTATTGTTACATACAAGACCAGTGAAAGGATCTTTACATTGGTCATCACTTGTGGAGCAATCGCATTGTCCACTTTGACCAACTTCCCATCCAGCCTTGCAAGTGCATGCTTCTTCATCATTCACACACTCACACCCATCTCCATGTTCTCCACAGTTGCACTTATTTCTGTTGCACTGACAAAACTGCCCAAAGTAGGGGTCAGCACAAGAACAGGTTCCACAAATGCAGTCCCCACGATCGTTGCAGAGTTGATGTTGTTGGGAAATGCATTTCTTTTGAATCTCATCAAATGTACTTGCATCCTCCTCTTCAAGACTACATTCACAGTTGTCACCATATGATCCTGAATTGCAATTGCAGGTTCCACACTCTAGACTACCTTTGCCGCTGCAGGTGTTCTTGTCACTATTTGAATGACCCATACACTTACAAATGCAGTCTGGTGATACAGTAATTTTAAGATTACTGTTTTCTTGTCCAAAAACTTTGATTTCAAAAGATTCAGCTGCAGTGCCACATGCCGCTTCAGTAATTGAGATCTCAGCAATAAAATTTATCTCCTGATCAACCTTAACTGTATTGCAAGAAATTTGACCTGTTAAATCATTATTTTCTTCTTCCTCGCAGTTACTGTTTTGATCAAACTTCAAGTTGATATTAAGATTATTACTGTGAACCCCCTTGTTGAGAATCATCTTATTTTTTATTCCTTTGTAAGTTTCCAAGATCAAGTTTTTTAGACTTTCTGATGATGAGACAAATCTTTTATCATTTATAATTCCATAGCTTAACTCAAGTGATGAGCTTCTTTTTAGCTGTTCATAATAGTTCTCCATGTAGTCTTTGACTCCGAGAATTAAAAATGTTTCCTGGTTTTTAAGCTCATAATTGACTGCAGATAAGGAAGGATAATCATTTTCTATAGCATCGTAAACAAGAAAATTTCCCCGTTGTTTAAGTTGGCAGGTATGTTGGTAAGGTTTCCAGGTTCCTCCTAGAAGGCCATCACCTGCTGTATGAAAAGTAGCATCTGTTATCAAGATTACTATATGAGTTGTACCATTTCTCCATCCAATTTCAGATTTGCACAATAGGATTTGCATCAGTGCGTCAAGGCTCCCCTCAGGGTTGTCAATGTTACCAATGATGTCATCTGAATTTCTAACCTGATTGATAAAATCATCAATGTTGGGTGATAACTTCATACGATGCTCAAAATCGTGAGCATAGCTATGTTTAATATCAAAAGGAGGCAGTGGCTTGTCTCTGAAAATGCCAAAACCATAACTTCTGTCAGTTGTTATTTCAGCTATCTTATTTGCTAGTTCTCCGGCTATATTGGTCAAATCTTTCAAGGTGTCTTCCATTGTTCTTGATAGATCAAAAAGAAAGTACATGTCAACAGGCATTTCAGATTTTGAAGCTGTGAATTTCAACTTTGTTCTAACATTAGGACGTAGTTTTATAAAAGCTTCAGAGGGTTTGACATTTTTATTCCGAGTTGTTTTTCTAATCTCAGTCTCTGAAACAGATTGAATTAATTTTTTTAATTACTTTTCTTTGTTTATGAATTACCAACTTTTTGAAGATCTTCACAGTCTAGTGTGTTACTCTTGACACATCCAACCACCTTGTTACCCTTCCTACCCGGACACCATGCACATCCTTCTCCTATTTATATATAGTTAAATTAATATTTTTTTTATTAAAATTGTAACACACAAGATAATTATAATTGTCAGATAACTTCTCCCTCAGGCATCTTTTCAAGCATTATGCACATTTACCAAGTGAACTTTTTCCGATAACACTGTTTCACAAAGATCAATACATTTTAATGGATCTTTAACCAAAGAAACTGAGTTTTTGCAACAAACTTACATTTTCTAACCCATATATATCTTTGCAAACTGTTGGTGTAAATCTTTGATATTTCAAACTTAGACTATTTGATCTACCAGAATTAATAGTTTGAAATATCAAAGGTCTAGGAAAACGGGTTGCTAAGTTATAGGAATTAGAAAATCTGAGTTTGTGGCAAAAACTCAATTCCTTTATGTCAATTTTGACACCAAGTTGGAAATTTTCCTCTGTCAATTATGGGTAAGGCTGTTACCAGTCACTTTTATATTTGTCCATTGTGGCTAGACTACAAAATGGACTTAGTGCTTTGGTAAGTGTCACTTAGGAAAACAATCATTTGGGAAAATGACATTGGGACATTCTTAAACAATTTTGTACTTCCCTGCTTTTCTAAGACATTCATTGCAAGTCTTATAGGGACCATCATTTGGATTACACTCATCCTGATAAATAATCATTTAAGTAAAAAAAAAATACATTTATTATTGTACATATATGTTGCCTTGTATAATAATGTTTCCCCAATAAATCTCCACATGGCTGAATTAATTGGTAAATTTTTTTAAGACATAAAATTGACCAAGACAGGTCCGGATTGAAAAATATTGTTATTATTCATTTTTTTGATCTTTTGGCTTTTAGAGAGCTTCACAAAAATCTTCAAAGTTAATATGAATTTCATAATTTAATTTTCTGTCAATTTATTTAATGAAATTGTTCAAAATTTTGACTCTGACAGAAGATATTAATTACCCTGGACAAAGCAAAATCATTAGATTAAAAATTAGTTTAATTGGTCATGCTTAATTCTTCTACCATAGTCCAAATTATGCGTAATGTAATAAAAGAAAACTTTTAGAGAATGTAATTTGAAATATATTAATTTTTTGTTGAATTTCCTGAAAGCCTATAAATCCTGCAAGTATAAAAAATGAATAATACTATGCGCAACACTAATATATATGAAGCCATTTACTTTTTGAAATTCCCCAAGAGCATATTTTGTTTACTATTGCAAGAACCCATACATTGAAGGTAGAACATCAATATTTTCTAGAAAGGGATGCAAAGCTTCTTCATTTACCTTAGCTGAGATACAAAGCACTTTTATTAATAGAAGTAAACACAATAATCTACATGTTTTCATGCTTCACTCTTCCACTCTGCTCTTAGAGCAATATCAACTTTAGTCTGAAAAAAAATTTAATAAATTTCAAATTTAAACAATGATTCCGTGTTTTCATTTTTTGTACTCTAATTTCTATAGAAACCTGTATTAACACCACAAAAATCCCTTGAAAAATGAAAATTATAAAGTGCTTAGGATCATTTCATTTAATTTTTTTTACAATTTTCAGCTGATATTTTGCCCTTTGGATTCGGATCAGTGGATCCAGGAAGCCAAAATATCGCGGATCCAATGGATTTGAATCCAGATCTTATGCACATTATTTTTCCTAAAATATTAATTATAAATTCTAATAACCTTATTGCTTCTCACTTTGATACTATTATGGTGTATTCCGGAACTGAATGCTGTTATCAAGTTTGATAACTTGGAGGCATAACAACACATTGGGAATATTCATGACTAATTTCTAATTTGTATTATGAATGCTTTTATTTTTCTAAAAATTCTAGAAATGCATATTCTAAATGCGTATTGATATCATGCCCGATTTATCAAGGTACTCATTAAAACCTTTATTTGATCAATAATGTGGAAGATATGGTTGTTCTTCTAGGTTTAAAAGTGTTTAATTCTGATAATTTTACAGCAGTAGAAATGTACAATTCATTTTTGTATAGAAAACCAAATTGAAAATAATCAGTTTTCAAATTATAATTGATCAGACAAAGTTATCAAGGGTATCGGAATGAACCGGCATTGCGCTATCTTTGCATAAAGGCTCAATCGTACTCTGGTTTTGTAATGAAAGATATCTCTTAGAGTAATTAAAAAGTATTATTTTAACTTCATAATTTGTTGATACTAATCAAACAGCAAAGGAACTGAGCTGGGAACTTTAGAATGATGGATATGGGGATTAATGCTTAATCCACACTTTTTCTTAATTTCCAGTTAAAATAATGCTTGTTCTCTTCTTGTTATTAATCTCCAGATTAATTAACTGATCCAGAATATGGATATCTCATTCTTAAGTTTTCAGCTCTGCGCGCATTTGACGTAAACTCAAATGTGAAAATATTTAAAGTAGTAATCTCATGAACCTCTGGACCGATTTGGCTCAAAATGTGATAACTCAGGCAAACTTCTGGCAAAGTTGAGTTCCCAAGAAAAATAATTTTAATTCTCACAAAAGTCTGTTTTATAATTGCGTTGTTTATGCTGAGTGTATGTTGCCCCTGGTTATCCCTTATATTTTTCTAGTGACTGGTTAAAGAAGCTCTTGTGCCCAGCCAGCGGAACATTTAAATATACTTTCTTATTACATTAACAGAGAGGACCCAGCTTTGCCGGGAGACAACATGTTTTCTTTTAATGTCAACCCACTCAATTTATAATTTTTAAACCAACACCTAAGAACATTCTGGTGTGTCTACTGAGTTCATTAAAATTGAGGCAAATCGGTCAAAGGATTCTTGAGTTATGACAAACAAACAAACAGAGATTACAACCATATAGATACATGGGAGAACCCAGCTTTGCCGGGAGACAACATATTCTCTAAAAAAGTCCAAACACAAAATTTCGATTTTTTTTAAAACCGGCAAAAAGCATTCTTGTGGTTCTACCGTGTTCCCAAATTAAGTTGAGGAAAATCGGACAGTTCATGAGTTATAATCGGACATACAAACAGAGATTAAAAAGCAAAATATTTGAAAAAACACTTAATTTGTCCTCTAAGCTATGTTTTTGAATATGTAATAATATAATGGTACAAAAATTTGTCATCAAAAAAAGTCTCCGGCAAGGACGGAATTTTTATTGATATTTAAAGCGAAATAAACGAACTATTTAATGATTCTCATAATCGTGATTTCATTGTCTAACGTGAATTTCACTATTTTAAATGGGCTGTTTAAAAACCAAATTATTGCTTGTTTTATCTACCTTAGTTTGTTTGCTTAAAGGGACTGTTAAAGGTATTGTTAAAGGCACTGTTAAAGAGACTGTTAAAGGGACTGTTAAAGGGACTGTTAAAAGGACTGTCAAAGGGACTGTTAAAGGGACTGTTAAAGGCACTGTTAAAGGGACTGTTAAAGGGACTGTTAAAGGGACTGTTAAAGGGACTGTTAAAGGGACTGTTAAAGGGACTGTTAAAGGAACTGTTAAAGGGACTGTTAAAGGGACTGTTAAAGGGACTGTTAAAGGGACTGTTAAAGGGACTGTTAAAGGGACTGTTAAAGGGACTGTTAAAGGGACTTTTAAAGGGACTGTTAAAGGAACTGTCAAAGGGACTGTTAGCGTAAAGTGACCCTCCATGTAAAGATGGCAATGCCTGATTTACAACGTTACCCTAGAAACCTTTTTCTGATAAATAATGTTGAAGATATTTTCGTTTTTCTGGTTTATAAAGTTGTAAAGTCGTATAATTCCAATGTGTATTCATGCAATAAAATACGCAAAAAATACTTTACGTAAAAAAACATTAATATCCAATACACACTTTATTAGACAGCGCTTTTTAGGGTGCCTTTGTCAATAGGGCATTACCATGATTGCATGGTGGGTCACTTAAAATTACGCTTACAGTCCCTTTACTAACCTCCATTGTTCAGTTTTGTTTTGGATCTTGAATGTGAATAATGCGTTCATTTACATTGTGCAAGCTCGCTCTATAATTTACTGTTATTCAATTGAAAACAATTTAAGTGTCTAATTAAAGGAAATGAGTCTTTGCCACAAACTCAAATTTTCTAATCTCTATATCATTGCAACCTGATGGTGCAAACCTTTAATATTTCAAGCTAAGATGATTTGATCTAACAGAATTCATAGTTTGAAATGTCTTAAGGTCTACGACCTTGGGTTGCTAAGATATAGATTAGAAAATCAGAAGTTTGTGACAAGGAATCAATTCCTTTAGAACAAAATCTACAGACTCAATTTCAAGAGACCCTTTAGTTGTTACACAGCATGTCTGATTCACAACGGTTCCGTGTAAACCTTTATCTGTCGGTTTTCTATTTTAAAAGTGTTAAATTCTGAATATTTATTTTAATGTTTCTTAATAGAAACTACAAATGAAAATTACCAATTTTCAAATAAAAAAAAACAATGCTAACTTTTTCTTTGAACAGACAAAGTTTTTTTTTGGGGGGGGGGTACCGTTGTAAATCGGACATACCACTCTATTACTACGCACACATAGATTCAGCCTGCTCATCCAGACAGGGTTGACTTTAAAGTGTCGCAACGCCTCAATTATGCTTTTCTGTAGCCCTTAACATGTTCATTTTAGCACTATAATGCACTTGGTTGTTTAAGAAGTAATTTGCAAAATTCTCATCGATTTTTGTTTGATAGCGTGAGACCTTTAAATCACAGTGATACGTTAACAGTTATTTATTGTTTATTGAAAACAAAAGCAGTTCATTTTATTTTTAATTGTGATTTTAGCTTTTTAAGCAACTCGATGATAAATTTATTGCGTTTGTCGTGAAATTTTTGATTTGTTATTATCGAGACAACAGATAATCCTTGATTAGTTTTTATTGGGTTTTTGTCAAACAGACATTGATTTGAAGCATTTTTTTCAAAATAATTAAAATTCCTTGGGAGAAAGGATGCGGCTCCAGCTGGTTTAGGAATATATATATTCTCTACTCTCCAGTCTAAATACAGAATTAGAACCATTAAGTTCTGCCTGAGTTAGTGCAGTTAAATTCCCTTTTTCTCCGGCTTTAAAAACTGTTTGAATAAGTTTTCAAAAATCTTTTCCACTAAATAAAAACTCTTCTGTTTTTTATAAAGTATACATTGTAAAATAAAATTTGTTATTCTCCGAACAAACTTTACATATGTGTACATAAACCACATGTACATAAATCATGTGTACAGTAGTGAATAAAGTTCAAGGTTACCAGCTGAAGTGTACAGCTGTCATGAAACAAATGTAAAAATCCACGAATATATCTCTGAATCAGCTGATTTATAGTGAGCGCCGGCAAATGGAGGATAGTGAATAAATATGAATTAAATGGGAAACCTTGTCAGCAGCAAATCTAGATCAGGGTATAGAGTCGCAAATAATAGATGCTTTAAATCACCTTTTCTTGAATTATGGACTCCCCCCCTCCCTTGTCACTTAGCCATGTAGGGTTTCCTTGAAACTTTGCCTGACTGAAGAAAGTTAAGTTTAAAAATAACGTTTAGAAATAAGACAATTTTCTTCATACAAAACGTTTAAGAAATTTGGGTTTGAAAAGCCATCTTGACATTTTTTTGTTCAAAGGAATTGAGTCTTTTCCACAAAATAAATTTCCTATCCCTAAATCATTGCAACCCGATGTAGACTTTTGATATATTGTTATAATTATTCAACAGAATTCATAGTTTTAAATTAATAATGTCTACGACATTGGGTTGCAAAGATTGGGGATTAGAAAATCAGAGTTTGTGGCAAAGACTCAAGTCCAGAGATATTTTAATAATTTTGGAAAAGTCAGTCTCAAAACTAAGCTCTCGCAGATTTAACAGTTTTATCCTTTTCTCAGCAAGCTGTAACTTTGATCAGAATTTGACCAGTAAACCAGATTTTGTATCTTTTTTTACTTTGTAGAAGTAAATACGTAACACATTTTAAATGAAAAAGTACAACACAAAAAATACTGTAAATTTAAAGATTGTTGATTCTGATTCTGATTTAAAACTTAGTAACCTGAATTACTTAAAAAAACTGACAAAGTCAGGTCTACAAAGTTTAAACTAAGATTCGAGACTTAGCTTTCGAATTGCGACCTCAGATATAGCGCTAAACTATGCCCCNAAACTAACTCTGATTCTATAAAAAAAATTAGAGCTGAGGATAATATTAGGAATCAATCAGAATCCGGATATATTTTCACGTGTTCATATATTTTATATAATTTTCATTAAGATAATCGAAGAAAAGGTTTTTTAAATGTAATAACCTTTTTTAAATTAAATCAGTTTTATAATTAACTAAACTTACATTTTATCGAATCAAAAAAAATAATTTGATTACATAAGAAAAAATTATATGGTATATATATACATAATGGTTCAAATAGCTGTTATTAATACATTTTTAACTATTATATTATTGTCATCGTTATTAACAATTTTGAGATTGATTGATTGATTAGTGAGCATCAATGCCGAGTACCTAGTGTCGCTTGTCCTTACCATTCTCAGGCTCAAAAACATTCATTTTTTGAAATATACAATTTATCTAAAAATTGAAGTCATAATGTGTCCTCATTTTAGATTTTAATGTTTCTTAATAGAAACTACAAATGAAAATTACCAATTTTCAAATAAAAAAAAACAATGCTAACTTTTTCTTTGAACAGACAAAGTTTTTTTTTGGGGGGGNAAAAATGAAGGGATA